TTCTAGAGCCATATTCTGTAGCATTATTCTAGAGCCATATTCTGCAGCATTATTCTAGAGCCATATTCTGCAGCATTATTCTAGAGCCATATTCTGCAGCATTATTCTAGTGCCATATTCTGCAGCATTATTCTAGAGCCATATTCTACAGCATTATTCTAGAGCCATATTCTGCAGCATTATTCTAGAGCCATATTCTGCAGCATTATTCTAGAGCCATATTCTACAGCATTATTCTAGAGCCATATTCTACAGCATTATTCTAGAGCCATATTCTACAGCATTATTCTAAAGCCATATTCTACAGCATTATTCTAGAGCCATATTCTGCAGCATTATTCTAGAGCCATATTCTGCAGCATTATTCTAGAGCCATATTCTACAGCATTATTCTAGAGCCATATTCTACAGCATTATTCTAGAGCCATATTCTGCAGCATTATTCTAGAGCCATATTCTACAGCATTATTCTAGAGCCATATTCTGCAGCATTATTCTAGAGCCATATTCTACAGCATTATTCTAGAGCCATATTCTACAGCATTATTCTAGAGCCATATTCTACAGCATTATTCTAGAGCCATATTCTGCAGCATTTTTCTAGAGCCATATTCTGCAGCATTATTCTAGAGCCATATTCTACAGCATTATTCTAGAGCCATATTCTACAGCATTATTCTAGAGCCATATTCTACAGCATTATTCTAGAGCCATATTCTGCAGCATTATTCTAGAGCCATATTCTACAGCATTATTCTAGAGCCATATTCTACAGCATTATTCTAGAGCCATATTCTACAGCATTATTCTAGAGCCATATTCTACAGCATTATTCTAGAGCCATATTCTGCAGCATTATTCTACGACTTGTTTTGATTAAGAATAATACTTAATAAACCTTTCCTCTTCCATAATTAAGTCACTTCATATCACCAACCTACAAAATTAAATTATATCATAGAAAAATTAAATATTGCACAAACCTCTACGTTTTCCGTGTTAAAAAGGGTAATAATAATTCTAATTATGATATCAAATAATATCATCTCTCTCTGGACTCGGTTAGTTAAGTTTGAAAACAGCCTCACCTCTCCCCAGGGCTGCCAGCTGATGGAGCCGGCAGCCTGGATGCAAGGGTGTGTGCATGGGTGGATGGGAGGGTGTGTGCATGGGTGGATGGGAGGGTGTGTGCATGGGTTGACGGGAGGATGTGTCCATGGGTTGATGGGAAGATGTGCGCATGGGTTGATGGGAGGGTGTGTGCATGGGTTGACGGGAGGATGTGCGCATGGGTTGATGGAGGAGGGATGGGTGTGCATGTGGATTGAAGGGATGTGTGTGTGCATGGGGTTGGATGGGAGAGGATGTGTGCATGGGTTGATGGGAGGGTTTGTGCATGGGTTGAGGGAGGGGTGTGCAGGGGTTTTGATGGAGGATGTGTGCATGGGTTGTGGGAGGGGGGTTTTGCTTTGGTTAGGGGAGGATGTGTGCATGGGGTGGATGGGGGGTGTGTGTTGCATGGTTATGGAGGGTGTGTGCATGGGTTGATGGGAGGGGTGTGTGCATGGATTGAGGGTGGAGGGTGTGTGCCATGGGTTGAGGGGAAGGGTTGTGTGCAAGGGTTGATGGGAGGATGTGTGATGGGTTTATGGGAGGGTGTGTGCATGGTTGTGGGAGGTGTGTGCATGTTGATGGGAGGTGTGTGCTTTGGGTTGATGGGGGGATGTGTGCATGGGTTAAATGGGAGGTGTGTGCATGGGTGAGGGAGGGTGTGGCTTTGGGTTGATGGGAGGATGTGTGCATTTTTATGGGGGGGTGTGGCAAGGTTTGGGGGGGGAGGGGTTATTTTTGGGCATGGGTTGATGGGAGGGTGTGTGCATTGGGTGTTGATGGGAGGGGGATGTGCCATGGGTTGATGGGAGGGGGTGCATGGGTTGATGGGATTTGTTTTGCAGGGTTTATTGGAGGTGTGTGCTGGGGTTGATGGGAGGGTGGTGAAAGGGTTGATGGAAGAGTGTGTGCATGGGTTTGATGGGAGGGTGTTGTGCTTTGGTTATGGGAAGGTAAATGCAGGGTTGATGGGGGGGTGTGTGCATGAGGTTGATGGGAGGGATGTGTGCTTGGGTTGATGGGAGGGTGGTGCATGGGTATGGGAGGTGTGTGCATGGGTTGATGGGGAGGGTGTGTGCTTTGGGTTTTGATGGGAGGGTATTGCAATGGGTTGTTTGGGAGGGTGTTTTGCATGGGTTATGGAGGGTGTGTGCATGGGTTGATGGGAGGGTGTGTGCATGGGTTGATGGGAGGGTGTGTGCATGGGTTGATGGAGGTGTGTGCATGGGTTGATGGGAGTGTGTGTGCATGGGTTGTGGGAGGGTGTGTGCAGGGTTGAGGGGGAGGTGTGTGCATGGGTTGATGGGAGGGTGGTGTCCCATGGGTTGAGGGGAGGGTGTGTGCATGGGTTGATGGAGGGTGTTTGCATGGGTTTATGGGAGGGGTGTGTGCATGGGTTGATGGGGGTGTTTTTCCCTTGGGTTGATGGGAGGGTGTGTGCATGGGTTTTTGGGAGGTTGTGTGCAGGGGTTTTGATGGGAGGGCGGGTGCATTGGGTTGATGGGAGGGAAAAGATGCAATGGGTTGATGGGAGGGTTGTGTGCAAGGGTTGATGGGAGGTGTGTGGCATTGTTGATGGGGGGGTGGTGCCATGGTTGATGGGAGGGGGTTTTGCATGGGTTGATGGGGTGTGTGTGCATGGGTTGATGGGAGGGTGTTGCATGGGTTGATGGGAGGGTGTGTGCGGGCATGGGGTTGGGGGATGGGAGGGTGTGTGCATGGGTTGATGGAGAGGGTGTGTGCATGGGTTGATGGAGGGTGTGTGCATGGGTGATGGGAGGGTGTGTGCATGGGTTTGATGGGAGGGTGTGTGCATGGGGTTGATGGGAGGGTGTGTGCTGGGTTGATGGGAGGGTGTGTGCATGGGTTGATGGGGAGTTTTGGCATGGTTATGGGAGGGTGTGTGCATGGGTTGATGGGGGGTGTTGCAGGGGTTGAGGGGAGGGTGTGTGCATGGCTGATGGGAGGTGTGTGCATGGGTTGAGGGGATTTGTGTGCATGGGTTGATTGAGGGATGTGTCTTTTGGTGTAATGGAGGGTGTGTGATGGGGATGGAAGGGATTGTGCATGGGTTGATGGGAGGTGTGTGCAAGGTTGATGGGAGGTGTGTGCATTGGGTTGATGGGAGGTGTGTGCAGGGGGTTGATGGGAGGGGTTTTGTGCATGGTAGATGGGGGGGATATGTGCATGGGTTGATGGGAGGATGTGTGCATGGTTGATGGGAGAGGTGTGTGCATGGGTTGTGGGAGGGTGTGTGCATTGAGGTTGAATGGGAGGGGATGTGTGCATGGGTTTGATGGGAGGTGTGTGCATGGGGTTGATGGGAGGATGTGTGCATGGGTTAATGGGAGGGTGTGGGGCAGGGGTTTGATGGGAGGATGTGTGCATGGGTTGATGGGGGGGTGTGTGCATGGGTTAATGGGAGGGTGTGTGCTGGGTTGATGGAGGGGTGTGTGCATGGGTTTATGGGAGGGATGTGTGCATGGTTGATGGGAGGATTTTGCATGGGTTATGGGAGGGTGTGTGCAGGGGTTTTGATGGGAAGGAGTGTGCTTTGGTTGATGGGAGGATGTGTGCATGGGTTGATGGGAGATGTGTGCAGGGGTTAATGGGGGGGGTGTGCTGGGTGATGGGAGGTTTGTTCCCATGGTTATGGAGGGTGTTGCATGGGTTGATGGGAGGTGTGTGCATGGGTTGAGGGGAGGATTAGCATGGGTTGATGGGGGGGTGTGTGCATGGGTTAATGGGAGGTGTGTGCATGGGTTGATGGGAGGTGTGTGCATAAGTGAATGGTTTGAGTGCTTGGTGGGAGTTGTTGAGAGGTGAGGGGAGGGTAGGTTGGCAGAGAGTTGGGCGGGGGGGTGGAGAGGGGGGGTGGAGAGGGTGGGGGAGAGGGTGGGGGGGAGAGGGGGTGGGGTGGGGGGAGGGTGGATGGAGGGGATAGGGTGGATGGAGAGGTGGGAAGAGGTGTGTCAATGAGAGCTGAGAGGACAAATGAGAGAAGAGTGATCAAGAGTGAAAGGTAGGAAGAGAGGAAGGAGGAAGAGAGGGGAAGGCGAGGAGAGAGGAAGACAGGATTAGGAGGAAGAGAAGGAAGGGCGAAGGTGATTAAATTTTAACTTTTAATTAGGATTTAGAGGTTTTTGAGGTGTTTTGAGGGAAGGAAAGAGAGGATGAGAGAGGAGGAGAGAGAGAGAAGAGAGAGAGAGGAGGAGAGGAAGAGGAGTGGAGAGAGAGAGAGAGTGAGGAAGAGAGAGGAGAGAGGAGAAGTAGAAGGAGGATTAAGAGTAGTTTGGGGAATTATTTTAGTTAGAAATTTTTTTATTTAAAGTTGAGGGGAGGGAGAGAATACGAAGGGTATAGGGATCGAAGAGAGGACGAATAATTTGAAGGAAAAAAAGGGGAGATTAGAGAGAGAGGAAGAGAGATTGGTCCCCCAAATTTATGGAAGTGAGAAAAGTGAGGGAAAGTGATGGGAAAATGAGTGAAGAAGTGGAGAGGGGAAGAAATGATAGGTGAACAACTGGAGAAGTTGAAGAAAGGGGAAATGAGAGAAAACCCGAGAGAATGAAAGAAATGAGAAAGAAAGTAAAGGGGAAAGACAAGAAGAGAGAGTGAAAGTAAAGAAGAAAAGAGAAGCTAGAATAAAAAAGAGAGAAATGGAAGAAGAGATAGAACAGAGAGTAAAGAGAAATTAGAAGGGGGAGAAATGAGAGAAGAGAGAAGAGAAGATTTAGAAGAAAATGAAAAGAAGAAAGGGGAAATTTAATAATTGGAAATGAAGAAACAAAATTGAAGAGAAAAGGAGCAAAGAAAGAAACCGAGAAATGAAAGAATGAGGGGATTTAAAGGGGAAATGAGAAAGACAAAAAAGAGAATTGGAGGAAATAATGGAGGAAAAGGAAGTAAATGGAAATAAAAAGTAAGAAGTGAGAAAGAAAGAAAATGAGATGATGTAAAAAATGGGTGAAGAGCAAAGAAAGTAAAGGAAAGACAGGAAGTGAAGAATTGAGGAGAGTTGAGAGAAAAAGAGAAAAAGTGAGAAGAGGGAGAAAGAGGCCAGGGAGGGAAAAGGGGGAGTAGAGAGAGAGTGAGATAAAGGTAAAAAAGAGAAAAAAGTAAAAATTAATTGATGAGAGAAAAAGGAATGGGGAAAAAAGGGAGTACATTTAGGAGATGGATAAAAGAGGGTGAATTTGGGGAAGGTTTGGGTTTTTAAAAGGAGGTGGTGGGATTTGGGGGGTTTAACTGTCACTTCTGCAGTTGTTACCACTAGTTCTACTTCTGGATGCAGTGGTGCAAGTAAACTTGCATCACTGGTGTACACACTGCAGAACATTGACAAGTACACACTGCAGAACATTGACAAGTACACACTGCAGAACATTGACAAGTACACACTGCAGAACATTGACAAGTACACAATGCAGAACATTGACAAGTACATACTGCAGAACATTGACAAGTACACACTGCAAAACATTGACAAGTACACACTGCAGAACATTGACAAGTACACACTGCAAAACATTGACAAGTACACACTGCAGAACATTGACAAGTACACACTGCAGAACATTGACAAGTACACACTGCAGAACATTGACAAGTACACACTGCAGAACATTGACAAGTACACACTGCAAAACATTGACAAGTACACACTGCAGAACATTGACAAGTACATACTGCAGAACATTGACAAGTACACACTGCAAAACATTGACAAGTACACACTGCAGAACATTGACAAGTACACACTGCAGAACATTGACAAGTACATACTGCAGAACATTGACAAGTACACACTGCAGAACATTGACAAGTACACACTGCAGAACATTGACAAGTACATACTGCAGAACAATGACAAGTACACACTGCAGAACATTGACAAGTACATACTGCAGAACAATGACAAGTACACACTGCAGAACATTGACTGTAATAAAGTTGGTAGAATTACCGACAATATGTAAAGTAAAAGGACACAAGTGCAACTAATGTGACATTTTATTGTGGCAACGTTTCGCTCTCCAGGAGCTTTATCAAGCAGTTACAAACAATACATGGACACAGAGGGTATATATAGGCTCAGAGTGAGGTGAATACTAGTGGTGGTGGTAGTAGTAGTAGTAGTAGTAGTGAGATAAGTTGTAGTAATAGTAGTAATACAATATGTAGAACAATTAATTCGCACATGAGTAAGATATAAAAGCTATAACTTGGGTAACATAAAAATAGGTTAGACAAATATTTCTATTGGAGATTGGATAGAGAAGGCTTGTATCAATTTAATGTGCTTGTGTATTATTAACAGGAGAGACTATGTGATGGCAGGGTTTACTGTTTCCAGGAGGATTCTTGCTAAGACTTCAGAGATTGTGAAGCTGCCTTTGTTTTGTTTAATTGTATTAGAAACAGCTATTAGTGAAGATTCAAGATACTTGCGTCTGCGGAAATTAGTTTCTTTGATCACTAATTGGGCGTCTCTGAATTTCATGAGATGATTGGTGGAATTTCCGTGTTGTTCACAGGCGTTGTTCAAGTTATCGTTCCTACATGCGTAAATGTGTTCATTGAGGCGGGTGTCGAGGTTTCTTGCTGTTTCACCTACATAAATCTTGTCGCAGGCTCCACAGGGTATAGTGTAAACCCCTGCATTGACTGGTTCGTGGTGCTTGGATTTTGTTCTGGCTAGATCCTTTATTGAAGTGGTAGAAGCGATGGCGACTCTGGTGTTAGCTTGTGAAAGTACTTTACAAACATTCAGTGCAACCTGGCTGTTGGGAAGAATTATAACTTTGTTAGGAGTGGTGTTGGTGGGTGGAGAATTAATGATCTGAAGAGCTCTTTTCTTGAAATCTTTGATGAAAAAGGAAGGAAAATGTAAATCAGTGAAGGTCTGGTGAATGTATGCACATTCCTCGTCAACAAACTCAGGACTACAAATTCGGTATGCTCTCAGGAAAAACCCGATGATGATGCCTCATTAGGTCTTAGTATCTTGACTGGAATAGAAGTGTATCAGATCATTTTTATTTGTAGGTTTCCGGTAAACTTGAAATCTTTGGTTGTCATCTACTCTGTGAATGAGGACGTCTAGGAAAGGTAGCTTGTCATCGGACTCTTCTTCTAGTGTAAACTGGATCGCCGGTTCAACTGCGTTGAGCCTTTCCTGAAGATTCCGTACATCAAAACGTTTGGGAGTTATTACGAGGACGTCGTCCACGTAACGTAACCAAGTGACGCTTGAAGGGATGATGTTGGCAAAGTGTTCAGACTCCAGGTGTTCAATGTACAAGTTGGCTAAGACGGCACTGATGGGGGACCCCATTCCAATGCCGTAGGTTTGTTTGTAGAGCTTGTTATTGAAAAAAAAAACAGTTGAAATTAACACAGAGTTCAATCAAGTCAACAAAATCTCCGGGAGGTAGAGGAAGATTAAGGTCCTGATTGACTTTACGTCGTAGAACCTCGATGGCTTTAGTGGTAGGCACTTTTGTGAAGAGGGAAGTCACATCCAAACTGCTTAGTTTTTTATTTTGCATTCCTTAAGAACCCTTGAAAAAATCTCATCAGGACCCGGCGACTTATTTTGCTTCAGTCTGTCTATTTGTTTCATAATCATTTCACTAGTGACTGTGAAGTTACATAATTTATCTTCTTCAGGTCCACTATAAAAATTAATTACTGGAATATTGTCAGTGTCTTCCTGTGTAAAAACCGAGAGAAAATAATTATTTAAAATCGAGCACATTTCATTCTCTTTATCAGTAAGATGCCCATAATTATTTTTAAGGGGACCTATCTTAGCTCTAACTTTCGTTCTATAGACCTGGAAAAACTTTTTGGGTTAGTTTTCGAATCCCTAGCAACTTTAATTTCCTAGTCCCTTTTAGCTTTTCTTATCCCCTTTTTAACGTCCCTCTTAATGTCAATATACTGATTCATAAGATGACCCTCACCTCTTTTGATAGGCCTATAAATTCTTTTCTTATGCCCTAGTAGATATTTCAGCCTATTATTCATCCATTTTAGGTCATTTATATTTGATCTAATTTCTTTATACGGGATAAACGTTCTTTGAGCAGCATGTATGGTGTTCAGAAAACTGCCATACTGATAGCTCTCTTCGTTACCCCAGTCAACAGATGATAAGTGTTCTCTAACCCCATTGTAATCTGCTAAGCAAAAATCTGGAACTGTTACTGAGTTGTCCCTACTATCATACTTCCATTCTATGCTAAAGGTGATTTTTGATCGCTTGTACCGAGTTCCTCATTAATTTCTAAATTATTAACAAGGGTTTCCTTGTTCGCCAGAACCAAATCAAGAAGGTTATTTCCCCTTGTAGGTTCTGTCACAAACTGCTTCAAAAAACATTCCTGAACTACTTCTAAGAAGTCATTTGATTCTAAATTCCCAGTCAAGAGATTCCAATCACTGTGACTAAAGTTAGTCTCCTAGAATTACTACATTATCGTGCCTTGTGGCCTTAACAATTTCCTCCCACAGTAATTTCCCTTGGTCCCTATCTAAGTTTGGGGGACGGTATATCACTCCTAGAATCAATTTTTATGCCCCTCTGAAAATTCTATCCAGACAGACTCTGTATGTGTTACCTCAGACTTAATACCCGTTTTTATGCAACAGTTCAAGTGATCTCGGACTTATAGTGCCACCCCACCCCTTACCGATATTTTTATCTACTTGGAACAATTTAAAACCCTGAATGTGACATTCCGAAGGCATGTCCGACTTTTGGAATTAAACCATGTCTCAGTGATTGCAAATACATCAGTGTTACCTGCACTAGCAACTAATCTCAACCCATCCATCTTATTCCTAGCACTACGGCTATTATCATAATATAATTTTAAAGTCCCTTCTTTCTCTTTACCCTTTCTGCTCATATCTGTTTTTTCACTAAACCTATTACTGCCCTTGTCACCTAGTGCCATTGGCTTTCCAATATCCACCTCATTCTCCCTATTACTAGTTCCCCTAGAACTCAAAGTATTACTACACTGGGACTTCACTGTATTCTCGCCAAAACCCATACCACTATCTATTCCTAGTTTAAAGACCTAACAGCTCCCGCCACTGCCGTTGCCAGTGCCCCCACCCCAGACCTAGATAAGTGAACCCCATCCCTGGCATACATGTCATTTCTGCCATAGAAGAGGTCCCAGTTGTCAATGAATGTTACCGCATTTTCCTTATAGTATTTGTCCAGCCAGCAATTGACACCAATTTCCCTGGACAACCATTCATTTCCAACTCCTCTCCTTGACAAAATACCACATATGACAGGGCTTCCACCCTTCTTCCTAATTATCTCTATTGCTGAACTATACCTGCTAATCAGGTCCTCACTCCTACGTCTGCCAACATCGTTGCCTCCCGCACTGAGGCAGATAATAGGATTGCTCCCATTACCTTTCATGATGTTGTCCAGACTGCTAACAATATCCCCCATCCCAGCCCCAGGAAAACATACCCTGTGCCTCCTCTTCCTGTCCCTAAGACAAAAGACCCTATCCGTAAACTTAACCTGACTGTCTCCAACTAAAACAATGTTCTTACCTTCATTTGTGGAATTTGTCGTGACGTTCTTGATGGTCTTCACTGGGGTATCAAGGGATGTCTCACTCACGTCTGCCAATGCTCCCTTGGTGTTCGTTGTGAAGTTCCCAGTAGACAACCCACATTCGTCTGGTAACACAGAAAATGGGTTGGAAGTCTCCACAGCAATCTTCTGGATCTTCGTTGTTTCCGCCACTCCTACAGACTTTTTGATTTTTAGCTTTGTTCCGTTTTGGCCGGCCACTGACCAGGTTCCTCTCTTGACCTGAGGTCTCACAACAGGAGGATTACTTCGAATCCTTTTGTTTTCCTCCGTCAGTCGCCGTATCTCAAGCTTAGCAACCCTAAGCTCCTCTTTCAGCTGCTGGTACAGTTGCTCAAGACAGGACATCTAGTGCAGATTCACGGAGATCACACTGGACAGAACTTCACAGAGCTAAGTACATGTCACCACTCAGTGTGATGAGTGGTGACAAGTACACACTGCATAACACAAAGTTCCTTTGTTATGTATAACATTGACTAGTACACACTGCAGAACATTGACAAGCACACACTGCAGAATATTGACAAGTACACACTGCAGAACATTGACAAGTACTCACTGCAGAACAGTGACAAGAACACACTGCAGAACATTGACAAGTACTCACTGCAGAACAGTGACAAGTACACAATGCAGAACACAAAGTTCCTTTGTTATGTATAACATTGGCTAGTACACACTGCAGAACACTGACAAGTACACACTGCAGAACATTGACAAGAGCACACTGCAGAACATTGACAAGTACTCACTGCAGAACAGTGACAAGTACAAAATGCAGAACTCAAAGTTCCTTTGTTATATAGAACATTGTCAAGTACACACTGCAGAACATTGACAAGTATACACTGCAGAACATTGACACGTACACACTGCAGAACATTGACAAGTACACACTGCAGAACATTGACAAGAACACACTGCAGAACATTGACACGTACACACTGCAGAACATTGTCAAGTACACACTGCAGAACATTGACAAGAACACACTGCAGAACATTGACAAGAACACACTGCAGAACATTGACAAGAACACACTGCAGAACATTGACAACTACTCACTGCAGAACAGTGACAAGTACACAATGCAGAACGCAAAGTTCCTTTGTTATATAGAACATTGTCAAGTACACACTACAGAACATTGACAAGTACTCACTGCAGAACATTGACAAGTACACACTGCAGAACATTGACAAGTACACACTGCAGAACACAAAGTTCCTTTGTTATGCAGAACATTGACAAGTACACACTGCAGAACATTGTCAAGTACACACTGCAGAACATTGTCAAGTACACACTGCAGAACGTTGACAAGTACACACTGCAGAACATTGACAAGTACACACTGCAGAACACAAAGTTCCTTTGTTATGCAGAACATTGACAAGTACACACTGCAGAACACAAGGTTCCTTTGTTATGCAGAACATTGACAAGTACACACTGCAGAACACAAGGTTCCTTTGTTATGCAGAACATTGACAAGTACACTCTGCAGAACACAAGGTTCCTTTGTTATGCAGAACATTGACAAGTACACTCTGCAGAACACAAGGTTCCTTTGTTATGCAGAACATTGACAAGTACACTCTGCAGAACACAAGGTTCCTTTGTTATGCAGAACATTGACAAGTACACTCTGCAGAACACAAGGTTCCTTTGTTATGCAGAACTTGACAAGTACACTCTGCAGAACACAAGGTTCCTTTGTTATGCAGAACATTGACAGTACACACTGCAGAACACAAGGTTCCTTTGTTATGCAGAACATTGACAAGTACACTCTGCAGAACACAAGGTTCCTTTGTTATGCAGAACATTGACAAGTACACTCTGCAGAACACAAGGTTCCTTTGTTATGCAGAACATTGACAAGTACACACTGCAGAACACAAGGTTCCTTTGTTATGCAGAACATTGACAAGTACACACTGCAGAACACAAGGTTCCTTTGTTATGCAGAACATTGACAAGTACACTCTGCAGAACACAAGGTTCCTTTGTTATGCAGAACATTGACAAGTACACTCTGCAGAACACAAGGTTCCTTTGTTATGCAGAACATTGACAAGTACACTCTGCAGAACACAAGGTTCCTTTGTTATGCAGAACATTGACAAGTACACTTGCAGAACACAAGGTTCCTTTGTTATGCAGAACATTGACAAGTACACACTGCAGAACACAAGGTTCCTTTGTTATGCAGAACATTGACAAGTACACTCTGCAGAACACAAGGTTCCTTTGTTATGCAGAACATTGACAAGTACACTCTGCAGAAACACAAGGTTCCTTTGTTATGCAGAACATGACAAGTACACACTGCAGAACACAAGGTTCCTTTGTTATGCAGAACATGACAAGTACACACTGCAGAAACAAGGTTCCTTTGTTATGCAGAACATGACAAGTACACTCTGCAGAACACAAGGTTCCTTTGTTATGCAGAATCATTGACAAGTACACTCTGCAGAACACAAGGTCCTTTGTTATGCAGAACATTGACAAGTACACTCTGCAGAACACAAGGTTCCTTTGTTATGCAGAACATTGACAAGTACACTCTGCAGAACACAAGGTTCTTTGTTATGCAGAACATTGACAAGTACACTCTGCAGACACAAGGTTCCTTTGTTATGCAGAACATTGACAAGTACACTCTGCAGAACACAAGGTTCCTTTGTTATGCAGAACATTGACAAGTACACACTGCAGAACACAAGGTTCCTTTGTTATGCAGAACATTGACAAGTACACTCTGCAGAACACAAGGTTCCTTTGTTATGCAGAACATTGACAAGTACACTCTGCAGAACACAAGGTTCCTTTGTTATGCGAACATTGACAAGTACACACTGCAGAACACAAGGTTCCTTTGTTATGCAGAACATTGACAAGTACACTCTGCAGAACACAAGGTTCCTTTGTTATGCAGAACATTGACAAGTACACTCTGCAGAACACAAGGTTCCTTTGTTATGCAGAACATTGACAAGTACACTCTGCAGAACACAAGGTTCCTTTGTTATGCAGAACATTGACAAGTACACTCTGCAGAACACAAGGTTCCTTTGTTATGCAGAACATTGACAAGTACACTCTGCAGAACACAAGGTTCTTTGTTATGCAGAACATTGACAAGTACACTCTGCAGAACACAAGGTTCCTTTGTTATGCAGAACATTGACAAGTACACTCTGCAGAACACAAGGTTCCCTTTTTTATGCAGAACATTGACAAGTACACTCTGCAGAACCAAGGTTCCTTTGTTATGCAGAACATTGACAAGTACACTCTGCAGAACACAAGGTTCCTTTGTTATGCAGAACATTGACAAGTACACTCTGCAGAACACAAGGTTCCTTTGTTATGCAGAACATTGACAAGTACACTCTGGCAGAACACAAGGTTCCTTTGTTATGCAGAACATTGACAAGTACACTCTGCAGAACACAAGGTTCCTTTGTTATGCAGAACATTGACAAGTACACTCTGCAGAACACAAGGTTCCTTTGTTATGCAGAACATTGACAAGTACACTCTGCAGAACACAAGGTTCTTTGTTATGCAGAACATTGACAAGTACACTCTGCAGAACACAAGGTTCCTTTGTTATGCAGAACATTGACAAGTACACTCTGCAGAACACAAGGTTCCTTTGTTATGCAGAACATTGACAAGTACACTCTGCAGAACACAAGGTTCCTTTGTTATGCAGAACATTGACAAGTACACTCTGCAGAACACAAGGTTCCTTTGTTATGCAGAACATTGACAAGTACACTCTGCAGAACACAAGGTTCCTTTGTTATGCAGAACATTGACAAGTACACTCTGCAGAACACAAGGTTCCTTTGTTATGCAGAACATTGACAAGTACACTCTGCAGAACACAAGGTTCCTTTGTTATGCAGAACATTGACAAGTACACACTGCAGAACACAGGTTCCTTTGTTATGCAGAACATTGACAAGTACACTCTGCAGAACACAAGGTTCCTTTGTTATGCAGAACATTGACAAGTACACTCTGCAGAACACAAGGTTCCTTTGTTATGCAGAACATTGACAAGTACACTCTGCAGAACACAAGGTTCCTTTTTTATGCAGAACATTGACAAGTACACTCTGCAGAACACAAGGTTCCTTTGTTATGCAGAACATTGACAAGTACACTCTGCAGAACACAAGGTTCCTTTGTTATGCAGAACATTGACAAGTACACTCTGCAGAACACAAGGTTCCTTTGTTATGCAGAACATTGACAAGTACACTCTGCAGAACACAAGGTTCCCTTTTTTATGCAGAACATTGACAAGTACACTCTGCAGAACACAAGGTTCCTTTGTTATGCAGAACATTGACAAGTACACTCTGCAGAACACAAGGTTCCTTTGTTATGCAGAACATTGACAAGTCACTCTGCAGAACACAAGGTTCCTTTGTTATGCAGAACATTGACAAGTACACTCTGCAGAACACAAGGTTCCTTTGTTATGCAGAACATTGACAAGTACACTCTGCAGAACACAAGGTTCCTTTGTTATGCAGAACATTGACAAGTTTCACTCTGCAGAACACAAGGTTCCTTTGTTATGCAGAACATTGACAAGTACACTCTGCAGAACAAGGTTCCTTTGTTATGCAGAACATTTACAAGTACACTCTGCAGAACACAAGGTTCCTTTGTTATGCAGAACATTGACAAGTACACCTGCAGAACACAAGGTTCCTTTGTTATGCAGAACATTGACAAGTACACTCTGCAAAACACAAGGTTCCTTTGTTATGCAGAACATTGACAAGTACACTCTGCAGAACACAAGGTTCCTTTGTTATGCAGAACATTGACAAGTACACTCTGCAGAACACAAGGTTCCTTTGTTATGCAGAACATTGACAAGTACACTCTGCAGAACACAAGGTTCCTTTGTTATGCAGAACATTGACAAGTACACTCTGCAGAACACAAGGTTCCTTTGTTATGCAGAACATTGACAAGTACACTCTGCAGAACACAAGGTTCCTTTGTTATGCAGAAAAATTGACAAGTACACTCTGCAGAACACAAGGTTCCTTTGTTATGCAGAACATTGACAAGTACACACTGCAGAACACAAGGTTCCTTTGTTATGCAGAACATTGACAAGTACACTCTGCAGAACACAAGGTTCCTTTGTTATGCAGAACATTGACAAGTACACTCTGCAGAACACAAGGTTCCTTTGTTATGCAGAACATTGACAAGTACACTTGCAGAACACAAGGTTCCTTTGTTATGCAGAACATTGACAAGTACACTCTGCAGAACACCCAAGGTTCCTTTGTTATGCAGAACATTGACAAGTACACTCTGCAGAACACAAGGTTCCTTTGTTATGCAGAACATTGACAAGTACACTCTGCAGAACACAAGGTTCCTTTGTTATGCCAGAACATTGACAAGTACACTCTGCAAAACACAAGGTTCCTTTGTTATGCAGAACATTGACAAGTACACTCTGCAGAACACAAGGTTCCTTTGTTATGCAGAACATTGACAAGTACACTCTGCAGAACACAAGGTTCCTTTGTTATGCAGAACATTGACAAGTACACTCTGCAGAACACAAGGTTCCTTTGTTATGCAGAACATTGACAAGTACACTCTGCAGAACACAAGGTTCCTTTGTTATGCAGAACATTGACAAGTACACTCTGCAGAACACAAGGTTCCTTTGTTATGCAGAACATTTCAGGCAGCATTAAAATAAACTCAAAATTCCTTGACCGTGATACCAATATAGTAGTTTACTACAATGTTACCTGGAGTTTACCTGGAGAGAGTTCCGGGGGTCAACGCCCCCGCGGCCCGGTCTGTGACCAGGCCTCCTGGTGGATCAGAGCCTGATCAACCAGGCTGTTACTGCTGGCTGCACGCAATCCAACGTACGAGCCACAGCCCGGCTGGTCAGGTACCTACTTTAGGTGCTTGTCCAGTGCCAGCTTGAAGACTGCCAGGGGTCTGTTGGTAATCCCCCTTATGTATGCTGGGAGGCAGTTGAACACTCCTGCTTTTCATTGGGGGTATGTTGCATCGTCTGCCAAGTCTTTTGCTTTCGTTGTGAGTGATTTTTGTGTGCAAGTTCGGTACTAGTCCCTCTAGGATTTTCCAGGTGTATATAATCATGTATCTCTCCCGCCTGCGTTCCAGGGAGTACAGGATCAGGAACCTCAAGCGCTCCCAGTAATTGAGGTGTTTTATCTCCGTTATGCGCGCCGTGAAGGTTCTCTGTACATTTTCTAGGTCAGCAATTTCACCTGCCTTGAAAGATGCTGTTAGTGTGCAGCAATATTCCAGCCTAGATAGAACAAGCGACCTAAAGAGTGTCATCATGGGCTTGGCATCCCTAGTTTTGAAGGTTCTCATTATCCATCCTGTCATTTTTCTAGCAGCTGCAATTGATATAATGTTATGGTCCATGAAGGTGAGATCCTCCGACATGATCACTCCCAGGTCTTTGACGTTTGTTTTTCGCTCTATTTTGTGGCCGGAATTGGTTTTGTACTCTGATGAAGTTTTAATTTCCTCGTGTCTACCATGTCGGAGTAATTGAAATTTCTCATCGTTGAACTTCATATTGTTTTCTGCAGCCCACTGAAAGATTTGGTTGATGTCTGCCTGGAGCCTTGCAGTGTCTGCAATGGAAGACACTGTCATGCAGATTCGGGTGTCATCTGCAAAGGAAAACACGGTGCTGTGGCTGACATCCTTGTCTATGTTAGATATGAGGATGAGAAACAAGATGGGAGCGAGTACTGTGCCTTGCGGAACAGAGCTTTTCACCGTAGCCGCCTCGGACTTTACTCTGTTGACTACTACTCTTTGTGTTCTGTTTGTGAGGAAATTATAGATCCATCTACCAACTTTTCCTGTTATTCCTTTAGCACGCATTTTGTGCGCTATTACGCCATGGTCACACTTGTCGAAGGCTTTTGCAAAGTCTGTACATATTACATCTGCATTCTTTTTGTCTTCTAGTGCATCTAGGACCTTGTCGTAGTGATCCAATAGTTTAGATAGACAGGAGCGACCTGCTCTAAACCCATGTTGCCCTGGGTTGTGTAATTGATGGATTTCTAGATGGGTGGTGATCTTGCTTCTTAGGACCCTTTCAAAGATTTTTAAATGTGGGATGTTAGTGCTATCGGTCTGTAGTTCTTTGCTGTTGCTTTACTGCCCCCTTTGTGGAGTGGGGCTATGTCTGTTGTTTTTAGTAACTGTGGGACGTCCCCCGTGTCCATGCTCCCTCTCCATAGGATGGAAAAAGCTTGTGATAGGGGCTTCTTGCAGTTCTTGATGAACACTTTGTTTATATTAGACATTTTTTTTATTTAAACACCGTGACAATTGATATGAGAATTATGATATTTTAAGATGTTGCGTAATAATTTGGTAGAACATTTGCATGAGGGAATACCGAGGTGCAAGACAGAGTTAATACATGTTTTGCAACATTGTTGATAGTGTCAACATCAGCATGAATATTAATATAACTTGGATCAACAGGGTTACTAGTGATGCATCAGGCTTAAACATAATCATGAGTCATGATAGCGGCTTTGAAGGGGCTTGAGCTAGAGTTTGTCACATTGTCGCTGGTGGGAGATTCATCTATACAAAACTTGCGTTTGTAGTCACAGTGATGGCCCATGCTAACCTACCTATTATGTAAAAACATACATAGGATGAATCTTATTGAAGCCAGCTGGCACAGCGGCTTACTCACTGGCCTGGAGTTTTACGACTCACTCGCCATGGGTTCAAGCCCCACCCGTTCCCTGGTTTGTTTGCAGTCAAGGGTGTATACCTAATGTAGCTGCTGAACAATCGTCAGGATCCATTAAGTTCAGTTTACCCAAACAAAATATTTAATTAAATCCTATATTTACAAAGCACTTGTCCAGCTAGTTCTTAAATGACTGTAATATCTTCGCCCTCACAATTTTAACGACAATTGATTCCATTCTACTATAATTTTGCTTACAAAAATCACATACATTCGTGTTGTTTCTTCTACCTCTTAGTTTCATTCTAATGTTTGGAGTTATGGACTCATTTAGATCATCAAATAATTCTTCGCGTTTCAGTATTTCAAAATGCTTTAGAATTTTGAAAGTTTTAATGAGATCACCCCCCCCCCCCCACCGTCCCTCACAGGCTCCTTTTCCTATAAGAAAAATTTGAAGCATTCTATGGTGTTTCTTTCTGTGGCTTTCTGTTTAGTAACAGTACGAGCAGCACCTCAGTATCCTCGTCCTCAAAGTAACCTGGAGACCAAACCTGGACGGCATACCTGGAGGTTACCTGGAGGTTGTTCCGGGGATCAACGCCCCCGCGGCCCGGTCCATGACCAGGCCTCCCGATGGATCAGGGCCTGATCAGCTAGGCTGTTACTGCTGGCCGCACGCAGTCCAACGTACCAGCCACAGCCCGGCTGATCCGGCACTGACTTTAGGTATCTGTCCAGCTCTCTCTTGAAGGCAGCCAGGGGTTTATTCTCAATTCCCCTAATGCTTGATGGGAGGCTGTTGAACAGTCTTGGGCCCCGGACACTTATGGTGTTTTCCCTTAGTGTACCAATGGCGCCTGCCCAGTCTTTTACTTTCGTAGGGAGTGATTTCTGTGTGCAGATTTGGGACCATTCCTTCCAAGATTTTCCAAGTGTAGATTATGATATATCTCTCCTCCTGCGTTCCAACGAGTACAAGTCAAGTGCATATTCAAGGGCATATTCAAGGGCATATTCAAGGGCATATTTAAAAAGCGGTCTAGTAAGCGTAGTAAAGAGTCAGACAGCGTACCAAGTGCTCTTTATGCTCGAAATTTCTAGCTTTGACATCTAGCATTCCCTCAGTGTTGTTTGGTATTTATGGAGGTCGTTGTTGCTGATGATCACACCAGAGTGGACGTCCTCTCCTGTATCAGTGTGTCTTGCCTAACATTTTGTTTTCTTCTTTGAGAATGTTACAGTCATAATGCATAACTCTGAAACTTTCACCATTAAAAATTATCTTACACGTCTCTGATCTATCTAGATAATAATAATAATAATAATAATAATAATAATAATAATAATAATAATAATAATAATAATAATAATAATATTCATTTCTGGATCACACTCAAACAATCTGCTTGGAATGCTGCACGCTTTCTCAATTTTGAGAGAGAGAGAGAGAGAGAGAGAGAGAGAGAGAGAGAGAGAGAGAGAGAGAGAGTAGAGAGAGAGAGAGAGAGAGAGAGAGAGAGAGAGAGAGAGAGAGAGAGAGGGCAATGGGGCGGCCATTACTCGGTGTTAAATACACTTTAACAGAAACCTGGCAGCTGGAAGAATGGACTCCAATAGACGGAGCTCTGCCCAGGGTCACCCTGACTCCACCTCTGCCAAGACAGCGAGAGACTGGATAGGAAGATACTGGACAGTAAGAGACTAGATAGCAAGAGACTGGACAACAAGAGAGTGGACAACAAGAGAGTGGACAAGAGACTGGACAGCAAGAGACTGGACAGCAAGAGACAGTGGCTACCAGGCATCAACCAATAACTGGCCTCACTAAACCATTTCGCTGCCAGACTGACAATTGAGGAACCAAGACGTCAACTTGCTGGGATTACTGCAACAGCGTCTTAAGACTGCAATGAAGAAATAATACAGCTATTATTGCTGCTATGTTTCGCTCAGTGTACAGATATATTATGCTCTTATTATTGCTGCTATGTTTCGCTCAGTGTACAGATATATTATGCTCTTATTATTGCTGCTATGTTTCGCTCAGTGTACAGATATATTATGCTCTTACAGTGATTGTTGCTCTTACAGTGATTGTTGCTCTTACAGTGATTGTTGCTCTTACAGTGATTGTTGCTCTTACAGTGATTGTTGCTCTTACAGTGATTGTTGCTCTTACAGTGATTGTTGCTCTTACAGTGATTGTCACCAGTCGCTATATGTTGCTCTTACAGTGACTGTCACCAGTCACTAGATGACACTCTTACAGTGTGTGTGTCACCAGTCACTAGATGACGCTCTTACAGTGTGTGTGTCACCAGTCACTAGATGACGCTCTTACAGTGTGTGTGTCACCAGTCACTAGATGACGCTCTTACAGTGTGTGTGTCACCAGTCACTAGATGACGCTCTTACAGTGTGTGTGTCACCAGTTACTGAATGATGCTCTTACAATGTGTGTCATTAATCCGGATGAGTTCAAATCAAGCTGTGTTTAGTAGCTCCAGTGAACATTGATTGTATCTTTGACCAGGTTTGGCAAGGGTGCCTCTCAGCTACACTACAAGCAATAGGAATCACTGATATCACTAGGAAGCATGACTCTCACTATTAGTCATTAGCTCCGGAGTTCTAATGAGTGAATACCAATAATGTTGAACTCTTAGAGTTGTTCTTGATGGATCCCAGAGTGATGTCACTGGCAGTGTACCAGAAGTTAGTGGCAGTGTACCTGATGTTAGTGGCAGTGTACCTGAATTTAGTGGCAGTGTACCTGAAGATAATGGCAGTGTACTTGAATTCAGTGGAAGTGTACCTAAAGTTACTGGCAGTGTACCTTTGAGTGGAAGTGTACCAGATGTTAGAGGTAGTTTCCCTGAAGTTAGTGACAGTGTACCTGGAAGGCACTGGTAATGTACCTGGAATGTAGTGACATTATGTCTGGAAGGTAATGACAGTGTATCTAGAAGGTAGTGACAGTGTATCTGGAAGGTAGTGACACACTATCTGAAATGTAGTGGCAGTGTACCTAGAACTGAGTGACACTATACCTGGAAGGTAGTGGCATTGTACCTGTAAGTGAGTGGCACTATACCTGGAAGGTAGTGGAACTATTCCTGGAAGGTAGTGGCAGCGTACCTGGAAGGTAGTGGCAGTGCACCTGGAAGGTACTGGCAGTGTACCTGGAAAGTAGTGGCCGTGTACCTGGAAGGTAGTGTTAGTGTACCTAGAAGGTAGTGGCAGGGTACCTGGAAGGTAGTGGCAGTGTACCTGGAAGGTAGCGCCAGTGTACCTGGAAGGTAGTGGCAGTGTACCTGGAAGGTAGTGGGAGTGTAAATGGAAGGTTGTACAAGTGTATCTGAAGGTACTGGCAGTGTACCTGGAAGGTACTGGTAATGTACCTGGAAGGTAGTGACATTGAGTATGGAAGGTAGTGGCGGTGTACCTGGAAGGAAGTGGTAGTGTACTGTAAGGTAATGACAGTGAGCCTTAAAGATAGTGGCAGTGTATCTAAAAGGTAGTGACAATGCAACTGGAAAGTAGTGACAGTGTATCTGGAAGGTAGTGGCGGTACACCTGGAAGGTAGTGGCAGTGTGCCTGAAGGGTAGTGACAGTGAACCTGGAAGGTAGTAGCAATGTATCTCGAAGATAGTGACAGTGTAAATGGAAGGTAGTGACAGTGTATCTGGAAGGTAGTGAAAGTGTATCTGGACAATAGTGAGAGTGTACCTTGAAGGTAGTGACAGTGTAGTTGGAAGGTAGTGACAGTGTGTCTGGAAGGCAGTGACAGTGCATCAGGAAGGTAGTGACAGTGCATCAGGAAGGTAGTGACAGTGCATCAGGAAGGTAGTGACAGTGCATCAGGAAGGTAGTGACAGTGCATCAGGAAGGTAGTGACAGTGCATCAGGAAGGTAGTGACAGTGCATCAGGAAGGTAGTGACAGTGCATCAGGAAGGTAGTGACAGTGCATCAGGAAGGTAGTGACAGTGCATCAGGAAGGTAGTGACAGTGCATCAGGAAGGTAGTGACAGTGCATCAGGAAGTAGTGACAGTGCATCAGGAAGATAGTGACAGTGCATCAGGAAGGTAGTGACAGTGCATCAGGAAGGTAGTGACAGTGCATCAGGAAGGTAGTGACAGTGCATCAGGAAGGTAGTGACAGTGCATCAGGAAGGTAGTGACAGTGCATCAGGAAGGTAGTGACAGTGCATCAGGAAGGTAGTGACAGTGTATTTGGATGGTAGTGATAGTGAATCTGGAAGGTAGTGACAGTGCATCAGGAAGGTAGTGACAGTGCATCAGGAAGGTAGTGACAGTGCATCAGGAAGGTAGTGACAGTGTATTTGGAAGGTAGTGACAGTGCATCAGGAAGGTAGTGACAGTGCATCAGGAAGGTAGTGACAGTGCATCAGGAAGGTAGTGACAGTGCATCAGGAAAGGTAGTGACAGTGCATCAGGAAGGTAGTGACAGTGCATCAGGAAGGTAGTGACAGTGCATCAGGAAGGTAGTGACAGTGCATCAGGAAGGTATGTGACAGTGCATCAGGAAGGTAGTGACAGTGCATCAGGAAGTAGTGACAGTGCATCAGGAAGGTAGTGACAGTGCATCAGGAAGGTAGTGACAGTGCATCAGGAAGGTAGTGACAGTGCATCAGGAAGGTAGTGACAGTGCATCAGGAAGGTAGTGACAGTGTATTTGGAAGGTAGTGACAGTGCATCAGGAAGGTAGTGACAGTGCATCAGGAGGTAGTGACAGTGCATCAGGAAGGTAGTGACAGTGCATCAGGAAGGTAGTGACAGTGCATCAGGAAGGTAGTGACAGTGCATCAGGAAGGTAGTGACAGTGCATCAGGAAGGTAGTGACAGTGCATCAGGAAGGTAGTGACAGTGCATCAGGAAGGTAGTGACAGTGTATTTGGAAGGTAGTGACAGTGCATCAGGAAGGTAGTGACAGTGCATCAGGAAGGTAGTGACAGTGCATCAGGAAGGTAGTGACAGTGCATCAGGAAGGTAGTGACAGTGCATCAGGAAGGTAGTGACAGTGCATCAGGAAGGTAGTGACAGTGCATCAGGAAGGTAGTGACAGTGCATCAGGAAGGTAGTGACAGTGCATCAGGAAGGTAGTGACAGTGTATTTGGAAGGTAGTGACAGTGCATCAGGAAGGTAGTGACAGTGCATCAGGAAGGTAGTGACAGTGCATCAGGAAGGTAGTGACAGTGCATCAGGAAGGTAGTGACAGTGCATCAGGAAGGTAGTGACAGTGTATTTGGAAGGTAGTGACAGTGCATCAGGAAGGTAGTGACAGTGCATCAGGAAGGTAGTGACAGTGCATCAGGAAGGTAGTGACAGTGCATCAGGAAGGTAGTGACAGTGCATCAGGAAGGTAGTGACAGTGCATCAGGAAGGTAGTGACAGTGCATCAGGAAGGTAGTGACAGTGTATTTGGAAGGTAGTGACAGTGCATCAGGAAGGTAGTGACAGTGCATCAGGAAGGTAGTGACAGTGCATCAGGAAGGTAGTGACAGTGCATCAGGAAGGTAGTGACAGTGCATCAGGAAGGTAGTGACAGTGCATCAGGAAGGTAGTGACAGTGCATCAGGAAGGTAGTGACAGTGCATCAGGAAGGTAGTGACAGTGCATCAGGAAGGTAGTGACAGTGCATCAGGAAGGTAGTGACAGTGCATCAGGAAGGTAGTGACAGTGCATCAGGAAGGTAGTGACAGTGTATTTGGAAGGTAGTGACAGTGCATCAGGAAGGTAGTGACAGTGCATCAGGAAGGTAGTGACAGTGCATCAGGAAGGTAGTGACAGTGCATCAGGAAGGTAGTGACAGTGTATTTGGAAGGTAGTGACAGTATAACTGTATGTAGTGACATTGTGTTTGGAATTCAATGATAGTGTATATGGAGGGTCGAGACAGTGTATCTGGAAGGTAGTGACAGTGTATCTGGAAGGTAGTGACAGTGTATTTGGAAGGTAGTGATAGTGTATCTGGAAGGTAGTGACAGTATAACTGTATGTAGTGACAGTGTATCTGGAATGTAGTGACAGTGCATCTGGAAGGTAGTAACAGTGCAAGTAAAGGATAGTGGCAGTGCGTGTGGCAGTTAGTGACAGTGCATCTGGAATGTAGTGATAGTGTAATTGGAAGGTAGTGATAGTGTATCTGGAAGGTAGTGACAGTATAACTGTATGTAGTGACAGTGTATCTGGAATGTAGTGACAGTGCATCTGGAAGGTAGTAACAGTGCAAGTAAAGGGTAGTGGCAGTGCGTGTTGCAGTTAGTGACAGTGCATCTGGAAGGTAGTGACAGTGCATCTGGAAGGTAGTGGCAGTGCATCTGGAAGGCAGTGACAATGCATCTGGAAGGTAGTGACAGTGCAACTGGAAGGTAGTGACAGTGCATCTGGAAGGTAGTGGCAGTGCAACTGGAAGGTAGTGACAGTGCATCTGGAAGGTAGTGGCAGTGCATCTGGAAGGTAGTGACAGTGCATCTGGAAGGTAGTGACAGTGCATCTGGAACGTAGTGACAGTGCAACTGGAAGGTAGTGACAGTGCATCTGGAAGGTAGTGGCAGTGCATCTGGAAGCTAATGTCAGTGTATCTTGAAGGTAGTGACAGTGCATCTGTAAGGTACTGGCAGTGTATCTGGAAGGTACTGGCAGTGTATCTGGAAGGTACTGGCAGTGTATCTGTAAGGTACTGGCAGTGTATCTGGAAGGTACTGGCAGTGTATCTGGAAGGTACTGGCAGTGTATCTGGAAGGTACTGGCAGTGTATCTGTAAGGTACTGGCAGTGTATCTGGAAGGTACTGACAGTGTATCTGGAAGGTACTGACAGTGTATCTGGAATAGGTACTGAACAGTGTATCTGGAAGGTACTGACAGTGTATCTGGAAGGTACTGGCAGTGTATCTGGAAGGTACTGGCAGTGTATCTGGAAGGTACTGGCAGTGTATCTGGAAGGTACTGACAGTGTATCTGGAAGGTACTGACAGTGTATCTGGAAGGTACTGACAGTGTATCTGGAAGGTACTGACAGTGTATCTGGAAGGTACTGACAGTGTATCTGGAAGGTACTGACAGTGTATCTGGAAGGTACTGACAGTGTATCTGGAAGGTACTGACAGTGTATCTGGAAGGTACTGACAGTGTATCTGGAAGGTAGTGACAGTGTATCTGTAAGGTAGTGACAGTGTATCTGGAAGGTAGTGTGCTACTTAGTTCCTCATGTAATGTTTATTTTAACACTCACCTCGTCCCCGCCTGTCGGTAATGCACTGCTTCAACACATTCTCTGTGTACCCAGTCTACACCCCCAGTGTACTGCATCAACACTATCTACACGCTTAGAGTACTAAATCAACACCATCTACACACCGGTGTACTGCACCAACACCATGTACACCCTTGTGTGCTGCATCACCCTTCTACACCCCCAGTATACTGCTTCAACAACATCTACACCCAAGTGTACTGCATCAACACTATATACACCCGCATTATACCGCATCAACAACATCTACACATCCAGTGTACTGCATCAACACCATCTACACCCTTAGTATACTGCATCAACCACATCTACACTCTCAGTGTACCGTGTAAACACTATCTACACCCCCAGTGCACTGCATCCGCACCATCTACATCAACAGTGTAGTGCATCAGCACCATTACACCATCAGTGTACTGCATCAGCACCATCTAAAGCCCTAGTGTACTGCACCAACACTGTCTACAACCCACTGTACTACATCAACACCATCTATCCCCCCAGTATACTGCATCAACACCATCTATACCCCCAGTATACTGCATCAACACATCTACACCCCAATGTACTGCATCAACACCATATA